ATCTTTAGTTTGTAAGGACAGCACAGGCGAAGAACCAAGGAGCAGCACACCAGAAATTACAACATACTAGAAATTGAGAAATAAAAAAATTAACAATATTTTAGAAATCAAACCTAAAGAACATCAACCATCAAAATAGATTTCAAACTAGAAGTCCCATAACATATCACAGGAAAAGCTTGTATTAGTCCCACAATACCAATCACAAAAACCACCTTTCAAAAGGAGCAAGAATCCAAAACCCATATGTGACTAATCCATAGAGTTGATAAAAATTCGCGAGGAGTCTGAAAAGCTTGTATCAGGCCATGATCGAACCCAGCATAAAAGGAAGCTTCCTGGTTCGTCACAAGTGGAACCAGCGACAGTGGAGTCAACACTTGATTTCAAATTCCAGACTTGTTGAAGCAGACCTCAAAAATTAGAAAAAGGAAAAAAAAAATAATACTTGGATGAGTATGGCTGATACGGTGTCATAATTAGTGGTGCTTGGAGAGGAAGGCAAATGCGATAGGGGCAATGATTTCAGAGAAGCAATTTGAGGTTCTCAGAGAAGAAGGTAATTGGACTCGACCACTGCTGCTACTCGCTATCTCCAATGAAGTTTAAGGGGAGAGGAGAAGGAGGAAGCGACAGTAATGGTAGACCAAAGGGATATGATTGAAGTGGTCATGGGGATTGGAATCTGAGAAAGAAGAAGAAACGGGAGGGAAGACGTGAACTGCACATGGGCTTGGAAGAGAAAAGTGAAAGGGGCAGGGTAGACAAATGACACGTGAATGCCACATGGCCAACTCGCATGGCATATAACAGTCAATTTTTCAACTTAACAGTCAACATAATCAAACTCTAACCACAGGACAAAATTGTACCACAAAATACTTTAAAATATAAGGCGCATCTGGATGGAAACTTCATGGGCAAATTTGTACTATAACCGAATGCTTAGATATCAAGCTTGATTACCGAAAGACCAAAAATTCGACACATAAATACCCAAAAAAAAAAGCCCCAACAAATTCAATACAACCCATGCTGGCATTCAGTCCGTACCCCATCCCTCCAAATTCTACCTTGTATTTTTTCCTAACCCAAAAAAAAAAAAAAAAACTCAACAGTTCAACTCTGAAGCAGTTGGCTGTTACGGCGATGTCCAAATCCATGCCTCAGTTCATTAGATCATAGTCATCCAATTTGTCATTGTACTGTAGAACCTTTCTCTTTATCTTCGATGAATCCACCCATGTGATAAAGTCTTCCATATTTCTGGTTACAAGGAATGCAGGATCAGTGACCGTCTCTGGACCAACTCTTATATGCCCCTGTTCAATGTATGTGACAGCTTCTTTCAAGTACTCGGCAAATTTTAATCGCACCAAAACAGTTGCAAGCCTACGCCTACAAAAGGGGTAAACAAAATTTAAGAACACAAGGGTATAATGTTAATAAAGCAGAACAGCTGAATAATCTCAAAAAAAAATACTTGGATTAGTTCTAAAATCTTTAGAAGTATACTGCACATATCTTCTTCTTAGTCTTCATTTCATAATCTTATTCTAGTTCCCCTGTTGATCATAATTAGCCTTCATTTTATAAAGATGATGCACAAGGTTTCGTCCCTACCACAATTTGTCACTCCCTGACCCCCAGCCTAAGAGATGAAGACGCTTATTTGGACAGCAACACTCTAATCAGTACAAATGGCATGTTCATTTGCGGATCGAATATTGGTATTACGTGTATAAACAACGCAGAAGCTGAAGCTCACCACACTGCCATTGCCACTTGTGAAATAAGTTGTTTGGGATCAGTAATAGATAGGTGTGTCACAGGGGCACTCATTATACAGTTCAAAGGATTTCGGATAAAAGTAGGGTAGAACATTGTGGCAATGCACCATATTACCAGCACATGGAAATATTTGATCAAAGCACAGAGCTCACATTTTAAGGGTGTTTATCTAACGGGCTGGGATAATAGATTTAGCTTTTATATGGTATTTGGCTTAGGGCTTTTATGAGGGGACGTCTCTATAAGATCTGCAGAAAGATTAAGTAGCTTTGCTGCATAAGTTTATATTCAATTTCTATCTTATAGTTTTAGGTGTTGATATTTCCTTTAGAAGGACATTAGGATAACCCATCCTCTGCGTTTTTTTTCCCCGTGAAAAGGTCAAATACATTAAGACAAAAGATTACCACACCATTTGTGTTAAATTAATTTAGGTTGTCTTATAATTTCTTTTATCCGCTTAAAAATATTTAGGTTGCTGGGAAAGATATATGAGTGGCGAAATTAAGGTTCCCACACCATTTGTATTACATAATTGTCTAGGATTAGTGTTGAAACAACAGGAAAAGAATGTAAGAAGCAACTTAAAAAACATATCTATCCCATAATTTAGAATTTAATGCTATATATTGCCATCTCTTTTTAGGTTTTCTTATGTTTCTGCACACTAAACTACAGACTACGCCTGTAACAGGTACTAATGTATCATAAATCATAATACCTTCTGCCTTTAAAAGATGACTAACGTTGTTTTAAATATTAAAAATAATTCCTTTTCATTCTCCTGCACTACAGTCATCAGGAATCTTTGGTGTACAAAAAATCACAAACTAATAATTAATTTTTCATTTAAAATATTGAAGGAGTGAAATGGTTTTTTCTTACCTACAAAAGGATGACACTGTTAGACGATCACAAAGTGTAATGCTTTGCCTGGTTGGAATCACGCCAATATTGTACCTATCATTCACGTGTGTGTGTGTGTGTGTGAGAGAGAGAGGGATAATAAATATCGGTTCTCTGCATTCCAAAATGTAGGTAAAAATGTACCAATGATAGACAATTAATATGACCAAACAATTTCGTCAATCCATGTAATTGGAGAGAAAAATAAAAAATTGTTCTGAACTCCAACAGTTAAAGGATGAAAACAATTAATATCTAAAAGCAAATAATAACCTAAAGTCCTTTCATCATCTATCCCTGCTTGTTGCCCTCACATTCATGCACTGCCATCATCATCTCAATACCCCATTATCAACTCCATCACCTCGGCCATCACATCCTCACATTACCATTATAACAACTGCTACAAACATCAGTTTTACAGCTACCACCTCCAACATTTTACAAATCCCTAAGACTCAAAACAATCCTATCTACCAGCACCCCATGCCATCCCTCTGCCTACCTAGGCTTACTGAAGAAATGAGTTGTGAGAGATAAATTAGGGTTTTTAGTCACAAATTATTCAACAATGGACATGTCATTTGCAGCCCTGTTCGTGATGAATTTAGGTAATCCAAATGCATGCTGCAGAGGCCAAAAGGTAGAAATGAAACTCCTGGATGATACATTGATTAATAAGGAATCGTAGACCAATATTAACACATATTTATATATGTCGTTTCAAAAACAACATTAAATGCAGCTTAAGTCAGTTCACTAATCAAAACTTAGAAATTTCATAGCTAATAAAACTTACAGCTTTTCTAAGAGCTTATCAGCCATCTCAATCCGAAATGGATCTTTTGGGTCCATTTGCTTCAGCATGTTTACTAACTTTTGCACCATCCGGCAGAGACTTGAATATCTATTGGTATTTTCACCATTCCAATGACCAAAATAAAGAATTGCATTAGTTAAATTTCAAACACAGTAAACTATCCAAATTCAGAACAATGAGAAACATAATTTAACGAAGAATAGTACTTCTTGTAATCATCACGTCCAGTAATATGATAGCGTTGAATAACATGATTTTCTCTGTGACCTCCTTCTCTCTTCCACTCTAAGAAATTCACCTTCTTCAATAACTTCTTCTCATGAAACTTCAGTTTCCTCATGGCTTTCCTCAGTCATCAATTCAATGTTCACAAGACACAATTATGCGTATAAAATAAATGCAAATTTGTCAACTGCCTACTTAAATCTGAAGCCTATGAGCATATAGTCATCCTCATATATATATATATATATAAAATTTACAGAGAGAGTGAAAGGAACGCCACACACCTAAAAAACAGCTTTCACGGGGAGTGGCGGCGGAGGAAGTGACGAAGTGAAGACGGAGGCAAAGCCGAGGAAAGAACAGCAGCTGAGGAACGAAGACCAAGTACCAGAGGACGAAGCGATGGAGCGCCAACGCGATGGAGACCGGATAAGCGACGGAGTGGGCCGTGGTAGGGAGGCCGGAAGATGAAAGAAGGGTAAAAGGTTAAGGGTGTAAGCTTTTTTTGTTTGGTCGGGTCGAAAGTGTTAAGGATCGGGTATGGGCGCACACTAGCCGGGCATCAAGCCTGATGGCTGGTGATCACTTTGTTTTGAGTCGGGTTTAGCCCAACCCAAAAAAATATTTTAAACAAACTTTAAAACTTAGAAGTGATGAAAAATGATTTTACCTATAAAAAAATATAGGAAGGATGAGATTAAAAAGTCAAAACTGAAAATTTATAAGAATTAGATTTCTAATAATTTTTTTAAAATAAATTATAAATATTAATTTATAATTTGAAATTTCATTTAAAAATTAAAAATTATATTTAAAATTTAAATGTTTTACTTGTATTTTGAATTCTTAAATTTAAAATAATCTCAATTAATATTTATAATAAATTTTTTATATACTTGATTGTCATAAATTAATTGTTTTGAAATTTTATTTTCATTCTCTCAAAATATAATTATTATAATTTAAAATGTATTTAAAATTAATATATATTTTATATGTAATTAATTTTTATAATTTTTTTAGATTTTATTTTTAATTTTTATAACTTTTTAATTATAGATCTTTATAATAAAGGTCACTCAACTTATTGAAATTAGAGAGATGGAAAACATTAAAAACTTAAAATTTAATAATTTAAGTGATGGTTGTGTGATGTAATATTAATAATTAATAATTAATTAATAATTTTTTACAACAATGGTCGAAACTGAATCCAAGCCGTTGGATTCGTTTTGGTCTAATTGACTTCATCGGCCGTCGTGGCAAATTTCCCCGTGGTTTCTGGCGAAGAAGACCGCGCGTAGGAGGTTCTCTGCCTCAGCCTTCGCCAATCACTCCTCCATGGTCTAGGTTACGGCTTCTGAGGATTTACCGTGTCAAAGATTCTAGCCATGGCGGCAAAATTTCTGTCTCTGTGCTTGCTTCTATGCTTTGGTGTCCGCTTGTCCTTTTCTGGTAACAGTTTGTGGCTTATTCGATCTACTATATCCATCCTGCTAAATGATTTGGTCTCTAATTCTACTTTTTCTTATAAACCTCCAATTCTACTTTTAATCCTGAGTACAACTTGGCCCAACGAGTTTTGAGCAGAAACCTGGTCTTGCTGCTGGAAGATGGAGGAGCTATTCTAGATTTGAACTTTTATGAGCTTATTCTCTTTGTCTTTCTCTCACTGTAAAATCTAGTAACTACACGTTTTAATACATTGTCTCCAGTTTCTTGTTAACAGATGGGGGTTTTAGTTTCTGAGACAAAGCGTATTTTTTCGCACTTCGGACGGTTAGGCTCACTAATGAAGTCGCAAAAGTCCATGCTCATATCCTTGTTATTATTATTAGTGTTTTAAAATTATTGTAGTTCATATATTTGATTATAAAAGGTTAAGATTCATGGCCACAGTGAAATTTGAGCCTAATGATAACATTTGAAACTTGATAACAAACTTTTTAAACTGTGTCTAATGATAACATTCTGGAGTTCGTTATTTTACTAATGAATGTGATCCCTAAGTGATATTAAACCTCTATGCTTTTCGTACGTTCTATTCCTTTAAATTTTGATATATTTGTGTATAATTTTCGCGACTTACAAGTTATGTGCAAATAGCTCTTTGATGTGTTTTGCTTCTGTTCAAGGTGTGATATTTGCAAATTTTATAGCTTGGAAAAATTCTTTGTCAAATTTTGAAATTTGGGTGGTTCTATGCAATTTTGGCATTATAAAAATAAATTACAAGGATGATTAATTGTGTGAAGGGGGTAATTTTGTAATTGGGTAAAGGAAGCACACGTTTTAGGTTGGAAATGTTTGACTCGATCTGCAATCTCAGATTTCAATTTAGCAATCTAACAACTGAGTTTTTGGCTCTAAGTCAATTCTATTTTACGTATCAGTTTATTGAAGCTATCCTGGTCCGCTGTGATAATGGTCCTGTTTGCCTAACTAAGCTGCATGAGATCTCTTCCAGGGATCATCGAATATCAAACTTAAATGGGTTCTGTATCCCTGAGAGGCTGAGTCATCTCACTACATGTTAGCTCCCCACCTTTGCTGTTTTCAAAAGCTTATAATCATTGGAGAGGTTTCTCATCCAATTTCAAGCTTGCAATCACCATTAGGTTATTTTCTGGTATTCTGTCGGACAAGAAGTGTTCACTCTTAGTCATCCATCCCTCAAGTTCACACCATCTTGAGTGGATTTTGGAAAGTCAATCTTTGTAAATCTCATTGTTTCCTGGTAATTGGCTGTCCTCTGGAATCAAATTGGTCCTAACATGTGGTTGTTCTTGTCTCCGTTCATGGATTAATTTGCTCTACTATAATGTAAGGCCTAGTATCATCTCTTGCAAGTTGTTGATCTGATTCTTGATTTGAACAACCTTGTCTGCTAACACCTTCAATTGTTCTCTTGCTGAGCTTCATACTATTCCATTGCACTCTTCAATCATTGTTCTATATATTTTATTGACACTAGCATCTTGCAGCTTCCATCAGAGATCTGTGAATTTCCCACTTTGATACCCTTTGGATTTATGGGTATCGAAGGAGAGGGGAGATGAGAGAAGAAGGGGTATAGCAATGAGAGAGAAAAAATGAGTTCAGCTATTCCATTTTTTACTCTCTAATTTTTTCTGCAAATCATTTGTGACTTAGTATACTGGAGCCTCAAGTATCATATCTCCTCAGCTATAACTAACTTCAATAGATCATGTAGGATTCTTGTTTTCTTTGCCTAATTACAAAATTGCTTTTCTCACTTTTAATGCTTAACTCAGTGTGACTAATTTCTATCATGAAACAGTTAGTTACCTGCTTTTTCTTATATTTGTTGAACTTTCTAGTGCTATTATTTGCTGATTCTGTCCCATTCCTATTTTGGTAATAATTCAGGGCAATCCTTCTCCATGGAATCAGTTCCTGACCTTCAGAAGTCTATGTACAAGGTTGTTGATGGATATCCTTGTGTGCGGCTACTAAGTCTTTCTGGACCAATTGGTTGTTCCAGTGAGTCTTCACAGAAATTTGTCTTATTTCTTACATTATCTACAATGCTGGGTGCAATTAGAATGTCATTGTGATAATAATCTGGTTCATCGTTCTTCCCTTAATGTATTACTTAGATCCTGGACGAGACAAGGTTGTTGCCCCAATAGTGTCATTCAAAAATGCTAATCAGCTGTCAAAGTCATCTGCTGTACTGGTGTCATTGGATGAGTTTGAAAGTCTCTTAACAAGGCATGTATATCAAATTTTGATATAGATCTACATTGGAGCTTTTCCTTTTCATGCCTTGCATTTCTTATTCTTAGATCTACATTGTGCTATCCATTGACATCCTTGGTTTGTGTGTCACGGCGAGTATATTCTCATGAGCTGCAAAATAGCTTTTGCCTTTTGATTTGTCATTGTTTTTCTCTCTTTGTTGTGGACATTATTTGCATTTGGTATAATTATATGCTTCCTACACCATATATTAGCTAGTTCTTGTTGGTTCTTTTAAATATAGTAGATTTGAAGAACCTAGAGACTAATTTTATTATTTTTACTTGAAAAAATTTGACTACTGACTATTCTTTTGAAATGTGATCTCTAACAAGAAAAAATAGAAGTGAATTCTTGAAATTCAAGATCAATGACTTTGTTGCTAAGAATATTCTGGATAAGCTAATTTTGGGGTCCAATAACTGTTTATTGTCTTGTAAAATCATAGGTTGTTGATATCTGTGACTTGGGCTATTTTATGTGGATTGATCATTGATGTTTTAATCTTTCTTTAAGGAAGTTAAAAATAAAGTTGTGGAAACTTAATATTTTCTGCCATTGAAAGAAATTCCTTGCATAGTTGTGTTTTAGTAGTTTTTGTTATCCTTTTTTTTTTTAATTTGTATATTCATCTATCATTTATGAAATTATATCCATTTGTTGAACCTGAATTTTTCCTTCAGAATATCTGCTGATTCAAACTTTGCAAGTAAGGTTGCTGGGGTGCTAGTTGAGTCAGGAGCTGGAGTGCAGAATAAGTTGAAGGGTAATTATTTTTCCTTTTACTCATTCAATATGTTGAAGCAATGCCAAGTTGCTTATGATAGTTTTTATTTTGTGAATTGTAGGATTCTCTCCAGACCTAAAGTTTCCTCAAGTTGAATTTGCTCCTTACCATAACACTGGATATCAATGGAATCCAACTGTATGATAGGACTTTTTAGCAAGATTTGCATTTTTGTATGACAATTCACAACTTGACGTTAATTTGTACTCTGGTTGCCAAAGAGGTCTTAATCTTTAAGTTCTTCCTTTATGATTTTGTCTAGCATATTCTGGGAAATCAGGTGGCTCGATTGTAAAATAAGAAAATAAAATTTTTATCTTAAAGAAAAACACTTATGGATGGGACAAATTTATTCTGGATTACTTTTTGAAGATTTATGCTTGGAATAAAGATTATCTAAGCTGGATATCTACTGATGCTAGTATGGTCCGGGAACAGCACAATGAGTCATTTATAATTGTCAATTCATTTTATTTTTACAGGGTTCTGCTATCATGTGGAAATCCTACGATTTTCCTGTTTTCCTACTCTCAGATAGGAGCACAGAGACTCTTCATGAGGTAATGCCATGTCACTTATTGATTTATAGTACAGTACTACTGATGGTCTAATAACTTCAGTTTGTTCCAGTTTGATACAATATTCAGTCTTATCTTGGAAATGATTTTCACTGAAGATATTTACAGTCATGGAACCATGTTGAAGTGGTTTCTGCACATGGTATTGAAGCCTATTCAAGCTGCCAAGTACTCCCTCTGGTCCCTATTAAAGGGTGCCTTTTAGAAGGATTCTTTTGTCCTTAATATAAGGCACTTCATAGGATATTAAATACGTTTTCCCTATATTACCCCTATTTAAACTCATTAACTATGAGAGAGAATGTAATGTAAATTTGAAAAATTTTTCATGTCAATAGGGTAAAATTGGAAGTTTATTATATTTTTAGAGAAAGTTAATAACTTAGCCATGTCTCGGTTCTAGTGAGATATTTAGAGGTGCCTTATAGTAGTAATTAGAGGAGTATTATTTTAGCATGCACATTCTAATATTCTATACTTAAGTTACATTTTGCATATGGTAGCCGAGTAGTGATAGTTTTGTAGTTTTGTGATCTATCCACCTTCCAAACCCTAAGAAATGCCACACGTGGGTTTCATGCTGTAGTTGCATTGCGTTCTTGAGCCTTCACTAATGTTTAAATATTTAGAATATGTTTCATGGGCTTCAGTTAAACAATTATTTGGGGTATAATGTTTGGAAAGTTTTCAATTGCATTAGTGTGATTATTGGGATTGCTCTTCTTGGCAGCTATGAGATGATGTCTGTGATGATGAAATTAAATAGTGGTGTGGCCATGTTCAACGAATTTTTTTCCCCTTTAAACGGTTGATTTTACCATTTCCCAAGTATTTCTAGGCTGCTCAACAATGAGTTTATATGACGCCATGTAATCTATATAGCTGACCCCACCTAGTAGGATAAGGCTTGTTGTTATTGCTCAACAATGTGTATATATGTTGGGTCATATCATCTACAATGATATTTCACTTTATTACTTAATTAATACTGATATCCTGGGCTATTATTGTAAGAAAAAGTTTGGTTCTTTTTTTTTTTTTCTGGTCATGCAGGCTGCAATCAAGAATGAGAACAACAGGAAACATTATACAGCTAATGTGGCTGAGTTCGATCTGGTTATGCAGGTATATCCAGATTCTTCAGAAGTATTTTTCTCTAGCATATATAGAAAAACTACAAATAATTGAATTTTGTTGTTCTGGTAATTTTGATTTAGGTAACGAAATCTGGAAATCGTGGTTCAGAGTCTTGTTTGAAAGAAGCTACTTGCCTCCCTTTAGGTGGAATACAGGTGAAGTTTTTTTAGAATCCACTCTGTGCTATGTTTTCTTGTTAACTTGTGTGAATGTGGTTGTAATATATATTTGTGGATTTTTGGGGCACAATTTGGTAACTTATGCCAAATGTTGCTTGTCCATTTATAATTCCTTTTTTCAAGTGAAACAATTGATAAATGAAAGCCCAACAATGGAGGATTAAGAATATCCTAAATGAAGTCACATACAAGGAAAAACAAATGCAGAAGAAAACACATATGAGCTTAAGTCACTTGACATAGTCCCTGATGGATTGGCAAATTTAAAAGAAAATTTACACTAGGATAATAACATCCAATATTCAGGATTATTAGCTACGAACGGGGATAATGATGCAACTGGGGCTTTTAAATTAACCTACCTGAGAGTCAGTAGTGCTCTTGAAGGAAATCTGGATTGACAAGAACCAGTGAGTCTTGGAAAGGGGCATTGAAGGTATTTTATTTTAATGCTTTGGGGTTTTTCAGGAGCCACCATGTTTGACAAGGATTGAACATGAAAATCACTTTCATTCTCCTTTTGGGATTTCGTGAGTTACTTGGGCTCTTAGAATATCCAGTTAAAGGAACTAATCTGCTCAATTCCTTGTTTCTAGAACTAGAAATGCAGTAACTTGGATTTGATTCAGGAAAGGGCATGCCAATGCGGATTACAGAAACAAAAGATAAATACTGATTTGCATACAATCTATAGTTTGGGATCCAGATTTGGGTGAGCCCTGCTTCTTTTGATAATATAATCATCCAGCTTTTAGTATTCCAATGGGGTTTTCATACTCCCCATTGACTTCAATAGAGGTGCGGACATTCAAAGATGAATTATCCCCTACTGTTTTCCTGTCTGACCTATAGGTTTGTCTGGGTTGTATGTTTTTGACCAAAGGTCCAGCTTCAGCTTCGGTTAGCATGTTAGCTAGAAATTAGGCTAAACATGATTAAAAACTCCTTGCCCAGTTTGACCCAACACATGACAATGGGTTGTTCTTTTGGGGTTATCTCATGGTTCATACCAGATCATTGTAAAGCAGTGCGCTCAATAAGCTCTCTTTGCTCATTGAACCTAGATGTTGATACAAGTGACACAATTCAAGTTTGGTCACCTACGTGTTCAAAGCATGACATCTGGAGTTCTAATCTGCAATGTAAACCTTGTATTGTTAATATGCTGACATACGGAATATTTAAAGGAAAGTCTTCCAGACATGCAAAGACAGTTGACAGTGTTTGCTAATTGCTTGTCTCATCCTTTTCTTTCTACCTTTCTTTCTTTCTTGTTTCCCCTCGTATGTATACATGTTCTGCTATAAGATTTAAATTGCAATGAGGATGTAGAGTTTATAAGAATTTT